TACCACAAATGAGGAGAGAATAACCATAGAGTTAGAGAAGAGGAGAGCATCTTGAGGCCTGTATCAAGGTGTCGCTTGAGAGGGAGGCCATAGAAGAAAGATGAGGGTTCATCTCTATGTATAAGCTATGTATTCTCCATTTCTTTTGCCTTAGTGAAATATTTGATTGATTCCCTCCCGTGGACGTAGATCCAGTTGGATCGAACCACGTAAACGATCTGTGTTTGCTTGTGTTCTTTTTCGTCTCATTTCTATGCCAGGAAGTACGTATCTCACAACATAAGGTTTTTCCACTTAAAAATTCTAATGTCTTCTTTTGCTACTTTTTGCTCATTGTGTGCGTGCATGCATCACTCTACCACCACAAATCTTCTAGCATGCAACAAGAATTTATATTTTCTTAAATGATTGTAATAGAATAATTAATTAACTATAATCATTTCAAAATGAATTTAAAGAGTCAAAAAATCATTTTAACTTGATTTTTTTTTAAAATATATTATTGTAAACTAAGATTTATGACTAAATATTAAAGACATTTCGTTTAAAATCTAATATAGAGTCAAATTTTTTAAATAATATGTCATCATAACTCCATTGATTGCATCATAAAGGTGAGATATTTCATCAATAAAGCATGGCATTTAATTTTTATAAAAAATAATAAAATGTAGTCTTAAATATAATCAGTATTTAAATACATCCCACTCAATTCTTATGTATTTATATATCTTACACCTATACTTTCATATTTAAATGCATAACCCTCAAATTTTTAATATCATACAATATATATATATATATATATATATATGTATATATATATATATATATATATATATAATTATTTTTCAAAGTTATGAATAGATTTATGACACCAAAATAATATAAATGTTTAGGGGTTAGATATGTAAATACAAGAATTATGTGGTGTGTATGTGAATTTCCCAAAATTTTATATTGAGTTTTAATATAAAAATAAATGTGTTACTTTTATTTCCATTTAGGGGCTGTGGTGGGAGGTGGTGGGATTAATAATACTCTTTAATAAATACCATAAGGTCATGTGCATCAGCATCCACCAGCCATTAAAGGGGATTGGCAAAATTTCATAATTTTAGAAATTTGTAGCCACTTATTTGTCAATTGCTGTCCAGAAAAAAATGACCCATAGTTGTGGAGGGCCCACCACTGAGCTAAAAGATAAACTGTGTGAATTTAAGGGTTTTTATATGAAATTAGGACCCCTATAGACTCCATTCAATGCACGATTTTTGAAGCAAGAAGCTACCCAAATTAGCCTAGGAAAAAAATCAGAATTTAATCATATTTATTGGTTCTATGTTGATTAGGGTTGTCAATTCAGGTTAATTGATTAGGTCCAAGTCAAGCCTGAATAGACTAAACATGATCGATTTATTAAAAGGGTTAGAAAGTTTCCCAAATATGATCTACTTGACTAAACTAAATTTGGCTCGACTAATAATTGGATCGACTGATACATAGTGATTGTTAGACATCATTTGATTTGGTTGTTATCGTTGATAAAATTACATTAGAAATATTATGTATTTTTTGGGTTAGTTATTTTGACCACAAACACGTAAATTCAAGGAATTTTAGTTCTATAAATTATTTAGTTAATTTTTTTATTATATTTCTAATTGCTTGATATAAGTCAATTTAGATTTCAATATGTCTTAAGCACAATAGAGTTCATCACATTGTTTCATAAATATATTTATCCATCACCATTTATATGTATGTTGAATTGTGGTATGTTCGTGAATTGCACCCAAGGAATAGAACGTAAGGCAAGGGGGTTGCACAATAATGAGCAGCAATCTGAATTAGTGATCTGAATTGTTGATTGGCGCTTTTTGAAGAAATGATACCTATTTATAGAGGAGAGAGGTACAATATATGAAATAACATATTTTCCCCCTTTTTAATGGGGTCGTTACAGGATATTTTGGGTATTTTACAAGTGTAGGCCTTCAGTTCGATTACCTTATAGCTCAGTCGGCTGAGATCAGTCGATCCTTGTTTGGCGAGACCTTTTCATATGACTGTGTTGAATCAGGGTTATCGATCAGCCCTTGATGGTCTTAACGTCAGCAGAACTTGACTCAATCGATATGGCTTTGCTGATCCTTTGCTCTAGCCTAGTTGTTAGTAGTTGATCCGTAAACAAGGAACTTTAGTTGGCTGAGCAATTCTAGGTCATCGAGCAAATAGTGAATCATAATAATCTGATAGGTAGCTTGCTCCTTGACGGGGCAATCATTCAAAATGTTCTATATAATTATGTTATGGCTAGTTCTTGACCCTTGAGGAAGAATCTCAAGGGTATGCGAGATGGGATTGGTGATGGTGAACTCTTTTTTTGAGTTGGATGTGGTGAGAGGTTGGTTGGTGCCTCTGCTCGGCTCAATTTCATTGGTCTTTGGCTCAGATTGTTTGCATTCAGTCGACCTCTAGCTCAAGTTCAGAGGGGGTTGTACCAAGTGATGCATGAAAAAAATTGACCAAAATTTAGGATTATTTTTATACATTTTTATTTATGATATGAACTTTAAGGAAAGTAATTGTGTTTTTCTTACATGTATAACAGGTAATTGAAGTGGGGAAGGCATGAGAGGACTTGAAGAACATAGAATAAAAGTGGTACTGGCGCCACCCTTAGGCGCTTAGGAGCCAGTCCCAACCTTCTGAACCGGAGCAATTGGAGCTTAGGTTCCAACCATTGGGAGCCTGAGCGACACAATTTCATAGCCTAATATCTGGAACCTTAGGTGCATAGGCCCCCTGTTCAACCTAAAGCATACAGAGAGCCTGACGCCTAGGGGCCAGCCTCTGGGCGCCTAGGCGCCAGCAACTGTTTTGGGCAGTTGTTGTAGTTCAAGTGTCAGGTCATGGGAAAATCATGTGATGAAGGTTGGAGTTGTGGATGCTAAGTATTGAAGCCTATAAATAGTCATCTATTGCTGCCCTTGAAGGATTGATGTTGATGGGATATTGATTGATGCTAGTAGGATATAGAATTGATGCTTTTGTGAGGGATTAAGGAGAGATTGATTACTTAGGATTTTCATGATTTGGGCAACCATAGTTCTTCTTCTAAGTGTTGAGGGAGTGGTGTTGTACCAGGCAAGAGTGGTGAAATCAGGAGGAGTGATGTTTGGAGTCAACTTTGGTCATTATTAAGAAGGAATAACTAAGTACTTTATTTATTGATTTTTATATTTTTGTTGTAACAAATATTTAGTGGATTTCTTTTATGTTCAATCCATTTTTTTAGTGAAATCAACATGTTTCTTGAGTAAAACTTTTAACTCTTTCTTGTGATGATTAGGTAGGATGAATGGAATGAGAAATGCTGTGTTGTTTCCTTATTTTCAAATGATGGTGACAAACCTTAAGAACTTAAATTACTTTCCATTCTGGCTAAGAGAGTTGGTTAAATGTGTTGTGAACCATAAGACTTGGGAAAGTTATGGTAGAATCAACTAGATTAATCACATTAAACTATAAGGTATAGGTTGATATGCCTTGAAGGGAGATGCAAATGTTATTAAAATAAGCCTTGAAGGGATGATTAAGAGATTTAAGGAATTAATGTCATTTCTATCTAATCTTTTTTATGCACTTGGGAAAGGGTAAAGAAGATTGTTGCTTCTATTTGTCACTAGTCTTTTACTACTTACAAATTTACATTCCATGTCATTTACTTAACTCATTACAAGGAAGAGCCTCTAATGTATTTGTTATCTTTCAATCCAAATTGCTAAAACTAGGATTACTTGTGTAGGATGTAAATTTGTTGTTTGTAGTAACACATTAGGTTAGTTTATCGGACTTTAACATTTTCAACTTTTTGGGCTAGGACTTAAAATCAGTAGGCTATAAATTTTTCTATTTTGAATTACCTCTCTCTGTGGGATCGACATTTCAAACTCTAATTCGATATGACTGATACAACGCGTGCACATGCTTGAACCCCTTGTGTGTAGTTGCACCTGGAAGCGGTATCACCTAGTCAATTGGGTTCTTTGGTGTTTCGCTAATGGACTTCTAGATTTCTGTTGGTAGACTCTTAATCTTTCTTTGGTGGACCCTTAATCTTCCGCATGTAGGCCCTCCTTAACTGTACTCTTTTTTCCTTTTATATGTTAGTTTTACTCGAGATTCGTACAGGCGCATACATATGTATGTATGTGTGTGTGTGTGTGTGTGTGTGTGTGTGTGTGTCGCGTACCTCGACCTGCTTCGACCTGTTGGTTGGCCTCCACGGTATAAAACCCCTCGGGTCGGGGGCTTAAATTCCCTCTGACATAGTTGGTCTTAAATAGAGAAAAATTATTCCATGCGGATCGGCGTCCGCACGCAGAGATGCATGCGGTGATCACCGTGATGTATTTCGGTGGGCCCCACCTAAAATTTTTTATTTTTTTTTTTAAAAAACGGAAATAATCCTGACCGTAGATCACCGTGATCTACGGCCAGGATCGAACACCGCATGCAGAGATGCATGCGGTGTCCGCACGCAATAATCTAATCCTGACCGTAGATCACCGTGATCTACGGTCAGGATCGAACACCGCATGTAGAGATGCATGCGGTGTCCGCATGCGGTACTCGAATTCTTAAACACATTAGAGGTGGCTGGAGGCTTGTATAATTGCCTCTGGCCATTCCTTTATTTTATATATATATATATATATATATATATATTCAACAAGGCTGAGCGAGTAAAATTAATCTCCAA